AACGCCATTCACCTCTAGTGTCCCTTATGGTAAAATAAAGGACACTTTTCTTTTTGCTTTTTCAGGAAAAGTTAAACACCTTACTGATCTGCTGAATTTTTATTCTTATATATGTGTGATAAACTCTTTGGGGTTGGCTCCATATGTGGTGCAAATGTGATAAAGGTGTAATGCAGTGAGTTACCACAAAATGTGCACCAGCCTGACTGCAGCATGACTGACTGATGCTGCTTTGCTCAAACGTGCAAATGTAAAACGTGGCGCATGGCAGATCCTGTGAGCGCTAAAGAGAGATAATAACAATTATTAACCATCTTCTGCATATAATTGTTTTAAGTGAGTATTTAAAAAAAAAAAAAAAAAACAACATATACCTAACATGTGCTTAGATCCCCTTGCAGCTGCAGTGAATTGCACACCATGTACCTGCCACTTAAAATAGTCATTTCAGGTAGTAATTCAACTGTGAGTGTTTAAATGTAGTCCGCGATCATTCGGAGACTCCTGACACTTTGCACAGTACTACACAAATCTTTCAGTTTTCCCCTATTACATGCCTGAATACATCAGCGGTGACGAAGACAGCTGACACCGGCTTGGCTTTTACGACTAGTATTCATCAAGTGCAGGAAACGCCTTGAGAAAGGCTGAGTTGAGAAAGGTTGTAGGGCTCCGGAGGCCAACACCTTGAATATGCTGTTCCACATCATTGGCTTTCAGATGGAAGGATGGTGTCTTATGGAACCTCTACATACAGAACAGCATGGCTCAAAAGAACGTTCTTGAGTGGTTTGCGAGCACTTATCACAGGTTACGGAGAATGTAGTGTTCTCACAGCTAATGTATTCAGTCTTGAGTGACTTTTTGGAATATTTCAATCTACTTTAGGCAGACGCCAATCCTGAGGGTCTCAAAACACAAACTAATCTAATTCATTTAAGATCTCTGTGTTCCATTCTCCACACAATATCACCTTTTCACTCTATAAATTCATCCATTCCATTGTCATGAACACAAAAAAATGAAGTGTTTGTCCAGGAGTTCCCTACAACTTAACATCAAATAAAAAAAGAAGAGAAGAAGTCCTTTGCGCCCCCTGACTGTTCAAGAGCCACACACAATGTCAAAAAAGGTGAATTTTAATAAGAGCGGTATTAAAGTGACTGGAGGTGTGTTCTTCATCCAACCTTTGATGAGCCTTTCGCAAAGGTTATGCAGTCGCGCCTCTACAACCAGCTGAGAATTATTCAGAAAAGGAAACCACTGCTCTCTGAAGCTGACTCGGAGACGGTCATTAACGCACCTATTTCTTCTCAATTAGGCCAAAGTCGCTGCCGTCCCCCCACCTCGCTCAGAGGTTCCACCTGCAGCTAATCCAAAGTGCGCACACCTCATCCTGTGTCGCTTCCTCTCAGGTTTAAGGTTCATTTTAAGATCCTCCTAAAACCACAGTGTGATGTATCTCTTGGCTACAACACTGATCCTCTGTTCCTATTCAGTGGATGTTCTTAAATAAGCTAAATCAACTCAGCCGTTTGCACAAATAAATGTCAAAAGCTGTTGTTTTTCAAGGAATGTCAAATCAGTAACCAAAGCGAATACTTGATTAAAACTACTTCTTGTTTGCCACTTGTTATATAAGGGCTGCAACAACTACTTCCATTATTAATTCATTTGAAAATTAATTTTCTCCAGCAATCAATCAAGCACCTTGTCTGTAAACTGCAGGAAAATAGTGAGAAAAGCAAAACACAGTTTCCTAGCGGCCACAGTTACTTCTTCAATTTGTTTTTTTGTGTGTGTGCCTAAACAACAGTTTAAAGTCAGAATTCATCACATTCAGAAGGTTGGAACCAGTAAACATTTCCTATTTTTGCCTGAAAAAAAAATGACTAACTCGACACGAAACAGTTTCAAATTAATTTTCTGCAGCAGGTCAACTAATCATTATTCATTCATTTTGTGAATGTTCAACACCTAGTGGCTCAAATATATAATTGATTCAAGCACTTTCATATCAACGACCATCCTCACAAGTACGTCTGGTCAGTTTCTGGGCAAAGTGAATCCACATTTTTATACGGTTTCAACACACGATGCTGCACAAGCTTCCCATCACTCAACATGGTATAGATGGTTGATAAAATAGGCATCGACTACTGCACAGCAAAGTATGCATCAGTGACACAACACTTACTATCTCCTTGGCAACGGAGTGGTCCGACAGTTAGTTTTGCCTCGGAGCCCGGTCTGTTGGTGTCACCCACGGCAACCTGGCTGACTGGCAGGTGTTCCTTATATATCAAGAGACCAGAATCTTCTCTCCTGTAAGACAAAAAGGAAAAAGAAAATATGCAGACTGAACAGAAGTCATGTTGCTTCTTTTTATCTTGCTTTTTTTTTAATCTGAAAGATCTCCATGTAAAGAAACCCTCTTGTATTTTTTTTTAACCCTTTCAAAATGAGTTAATTTCAGACTTTGTTGAGGTTGCAACTCAGATAAATAAAACAACATTTGCGATTACGAGCTGAGACTATTTACAACTGCGCCAAATCCGCTTTCCATTAGCAGTTCTGTTACTTTGAGGCGATTCCGCTCAGATAAGTGAGAGAAGGAAACGATGAAAAATGGGAGGTGGAAAAATAGTGTGCATCACATGGCGGCTGTGTAGATATAATAATCTTTTATGAAGCATAGCGGTTGTTCACACATATGATACAATATACAGGAAATATCTCATGGAAGCAGTCGTGGCATGTCGATGATATTTGTAGAGCATCCAACATGGGAAAGCGTATCTGTTTCCTTTGTGCTGTTAGATTCTGTACCAGCTGTAATATAGCTACATATAATAAGGGTAACTACATGAAAATGGTGTTTTGACTCATTGTGTGTGTGCACATGCATTTGGGAGTTGTGTATTTTTTATTTGATAGGATCAGTACATTGGCACATTCATTTTGAAATAATGATAATTAAAAAAGGATACTAAAGTGAAATGTCTGCTGTAATATGAGTGGATTTAAATCTTTAACACACAACGGCCAAACGTTAAGATGTTTAAAAGTAAATGCACATGAAATCGTACAAAGTCGCCATACGTAATGTTTTTGCGAAAAGCCCACATTAACTCTTGAATTCACAGACTTTCCTGTTAACGCTCTTTGCAGACAAGAGGAATGCCAGGAAATACTTTGGAACTCTCTTCGGTCGTTGTGGCTGTGAAGTTCGGATCGCTGTCCTGTTGAATCATATGTCGTCCATTGAGTCTAGACGCATTTGGCTGAATCTCAGCACCCACAATGCACCTGCATATCTCTGCAATAAGCCTGTTGCTTCCGTCAGCAGCATAATGATCCACTATGCCAGCGTCCCGGTTCCATTGATGCCATTCATGCTCAAACCATAACAGAACCAGAACCAAATTTGACAAATGAGGTTGGATGCTTTGGGTTATGCTGTTAGTTTTTTTTTTTTTTTTCTCTCTCCACACATTCCTCTTTCCATCATTTTGACTGAAGTTGAGCTTAGTTTCGTCAGACCACAGAGCTCTACAAAAGCATACAAAAAGAAACCAGCTTTTCCGACGCTGAGGCTTCCAAGGTCTTTGCATCTCGTGGTAAATTCTATAAGGTGGTTTTACGGTCAAGTCTTCTGCTTGATCACTGAGGCGAAGACGTGTACGCCTACATACTGGAGAGCGCTTTTGACCTGATGTGCAATAATAAAGGACTTTTTTTCTCTCCTCACAATGCAAAATATTTTCTGGTCCTCCACAAGACTTGTACTATTGAGTTTACCAGCACATTTACCATTTTTTTCCCTTCTTCAGTGTAGAAGCATGGAGAACAGGGAATACTTCTGTTCCTGACAGCACATATACAGTATCTAAATAGTAGCAGATATGTATGTTTAAATATAAATATGGATGCGTGTACGTTTTAAACAAAAGGTGGTTACCTGTATAGTGGCAACTTAACAACTAATGAATTTGCACGTGTGTATCTACAGTGCTTGCAAATATACATATATTTTTAATTTTACTCAACTTTTTTCTTTTATATCTTACTGAAAATGTGTGGCTGTATATAATATGTGTTAGGTTATGCAGTATAGGTTGTGTGATTGTATATATGAGCATCTATGTGTATATATATGTGTGTGTGTCTTCATTTATTTCCACCCTTTCTGTATTATATAGTCATAAGTCAGAGTTGCTGCTGCGTAAATTAAAAAAAATAAAATAAAAATTAGAATTGAATAATTTGGTAATAGCAGTGACAGACAGAAAACACAGGCTAATATGTGGATTGGAAAAAAAATGTGGTGTATGAGAACTGAGCGAATCCACATAAAATAGAATAAAATAATTCATTAAATCATCTTGCCGTCGCATTAATTATCCAGCTGACAATACAGTAACAGTAATGCAAACATTAAATACATAAATAACAGCCATCGAAGTGGCAATGCATTTAAACGGAACGTATTCTGCTATAAATTCTTCACATAACTCGATTTGAATTGTTTGCCATTCAATGCCATTTGGACATGAAACAGTTAGAGATCTAATTTATGGAGGCATGTGTGCATCTGAGTAAGCATGCCTGCATATGTGTGTGTGTGTGTGTGTGTATGTGTGTGCTGCCAAAAATATGGGTAATGAGTAGAAACTGTTGCATTGGTAATATTTCAAATACTCACTCAGCCAAACAATGAGGCATTAATGCATAAAATATTAACGGCGAGAACGAGACAGTGTAAGAATTATTTGTAATCTCATCAGTTTTAGAGATGAGGAGGGAGACATGAAAGCAAATGAAATCTCTTCTTCTTGCTAACACTCAGTAATTACTCACAAACATGTGGCATGCGCACACACGCACGCACCCATTGACAGCGACGCGATTGGTTTTAATGAGAATATCCATCAGCTGGCTAAAAGAGCTTTGAAACACAAACGGTTGGTTCTGCAGGAAAACATCCCTCTTAAATAAACACATCCTTGATGGTGGCATTTATCATTCAGTCACTTCGGCCTTTGAAGTTAGACACCTCATCCGACTGTCCAGTTACGGCAGATTCTGTACTAATGCACGATTGCAAACTTTAGCATTAGTGACAAATTTATCTTATCTCATGACAAAGTTGATGCAGTAATATCATTTTGATTCTGATCTTCTAAGTAGGGGTTATGGAAGGATTCTCCATCCCTCCATTATCTATACATCGCTTAATCCTCACTGGGGGCGCTGGAGCCGATCCCAGCTGACTTAGGGTGAAGGGAGGGGACACCCTGGTCAGGTCGCCAGTCTGTCTACGGATAATTTAGAATCACCAATTAACCTCAACATCTTTTTGGACCTTGTGGGAGGAAGCCGGAGAAACCCGGAGAGAACCCACGCTGTACAGGGAGAACATGCTAACTCCATGCAAAAAGATCCCAGGTGTCCTCACTGGGACACGAACTGGCGACCTTCTTGTTGTGAGGCAACAGTGCTAACCACTGAGCCACCTTGCAGCCCTGGAAGGGTTCTGAGATGTTAAATGTAAATGTCAACTAAAATGAAATGTTGTTTTCCAGCAAGTGTGCTCATGAAACACAAGAGACAACAACAATAATATTACTAACAATACTACAAATACACTTATTATTTTTATACAGTATAACACGTGTCATATGACATTTTCCATTCTTGCATGCATACATACAGTGTAATGTCAAAAAAGTGTTAATTTTGCTACTTGAAATTCACCATGATATTTGAAACTCAGGGTTCTTGTTGTCAGAAAGACTTAGACAAGTCAGTTTCCTAGATCTAGAGAGTTAGAATTTGGTCTCTTTGACAAGAGCTTAGAAAAAAAGCCTTTTTCATTTTTCAAGTGAAAACAGATTTCTACGATGTAATGTCAGCTATTAAGCAAATATAAAATGTAAAATAAGTGATTCACAATCACAGCTTTGAGTACATGTAGATAGGTCTAAACTTGATCTCATCAGACTAAAGAACCTTCTTCCAGTTGACTTAAGGTTCTCCAAGATGCTTTCTGCCAAACTCTAGTTGAGTTTTTTTGTTTTTTTCAATTGTGGCTTTTCTTTGGCACTGTCTCATAAAGCTTTGTCTAGTGAAGAACCTGAGCAACAGTCTTTCCCATCTCAGCTGTTGAAGCTTGGAACTCCTTCAGAGGAGTCATATGTGTCTTGGTGGCCTCCCTCACTCGTCTCATTCTTGGACGTATGTTCAATTTTCGGCTCTAGGCAGATTAATGAATGTGTCATATTCCTTCAATTTCCTAATGTTGGAAGTATATGTACTCCAAGTGATATTAAGTGACTTAGAAATGTTCTGGTATCCATCCCCTGACTTATGCTTTTCAATAATTTCACAGAGTTGCTTGGAATGTTCTTTCATCTTCACGGTGTAGTTATAACCAGGAGTACTGATTCATCAGTGACTGGACCTTCCAGATACAGGTGTCTTTATACTACAGTCCCTTCAGATACACTGACTACACTCAAATGATCTGCATTTCATTAATTGTGTGACTTCTAGTACCGACTGACTTCACCTGTGATGAATAAGGTGAGTCACTTTAAAGGGGGTGAATACTTAAGCAATCATTTATTTTATATTTAATTTTAAAATTAACTGACACACAGCAGAAGTCAGTTTTTCCTTTTGACATAAAAGAGTATTTTTCTGTAATTTCTTGTTCAAAAAGCCAAATGAAATTGACCATGGTTCATTGTTGAACAGCAATTTAAGGGAGAAACTTCCATGAAGGGTGAATATTTTTTGGCAATGTTTCCCTAATTGAAGGCTTAGATTATCATCGGAAAACGTTCTTGGAAATGGTTGAGTTCCACCCTTTTTGGTCCATCAAAATAATGGTATAAATGAATGCTGTTAGAGTAAGGCATTTCTACCATTCATGAATTGATTCAAATATATAACAGAAAAGAAGTGTCATTTTTCTTCTAACAGATTTTCTTTTTCACCAATCCCCAGTGGAGCTGTTTCTAAAGACTTGAATTAAAATCAATGCAAAACTGAAACTGTGAGGAAGTTAATCACAGGTCAGCTGTTCGAGTACATGCAGAACCTTTATGTGATCGTGAGACTTACCACTGTTTGGCATCGGCATCGCAGTTGCAGTCGTACTTGGGGTCAGTGCAGTTCCTGTCGATACCACAGGCGCATTTCTGGATGCCGGGCCCTGAGCCGCCCCAGTAGAAGTGCTTCTCGCTGCCCCGGCCCACCCACCATGTGTAGGGGGTTCCATCTGGGGACCAAACACAGACATAAAAAAAACCCTGTAAGTTCCTCTCAAGAAAGACAACAATCCCCATTAGTCCTCAGTGCTCCTCCTGGCTTTTGGCTGATTACTGCAATGACCATTGGACCCTTCGTCGAAAAGTGAGACAAAACGAGCTTTTGTGAAGGGAATAAAGTTGCGTCCAAACTCATTCCTGTTACGGGTGATTAACTGTTGAAATGTTCAAGGCTTTTGTTGCGTTAATGTGAAATATATTGACTACTAGCAGCTGCCTGGTGAATGTGATTCATTGGCTCAGCATGTTTTACACAGCTGGATGGTTAATGCCTTTGAGACTGGCAGGCACACTTAGTCACAGATCACACCTGCGATTTTAGAGATCTATTAAAACAGCTTCAGCGCTGCATTTACATGTATCTTTTACATTAGTATGTGTGAACCTTTGTGTATATAATTGTCACTGTCAATTCAGAGCACATCTGCTGGCACACAAACACCTCCACATGTGCATGTGTGTGCGTGCATCCCTGTGTGTGTGTGTGTGTGTTTTAATGAGTGGATAAGAGGTGAAGGATCGCTGCTTTTCAATAAGAAATGTAATATTGTTTTCTTTGCCTTGGATAATGTATTCTGGCATGGGACAGTAACTAGGCAGAGAGATAGGTGTAAATATTTTGGTGCCTGGCAATATATCACAATAACAGCAAGAGAGTATGAAACAATATTACGTTTCCCTCTTTATTCCAAGAAAATAAGCTGCATTGTCAATATCGCTTTGTCAAATTCCATCAGAGACAATGAAATCTCCAGAGCCACATATTTTACAGAAGGGGATTGAAGCAGACTTTTGATGCAGCACAACTGCATTGAGATGTGTGATATAGTCTATTATTACACTTGATTTTCAGAACTGGGCCTAATCTCCAGGTGGAAGATGTGTCTGCCTGTGTTTTTATATTGTGTGTGAAGGTGTGTGCGTGTTTGGCCTTGGTGACTTATGGGTTTATTGCCCTCATGAAGAGAATTAGCCTCATCTCTTTTCAAGCCACAGTTCAGACACTGTCAATAGGATTAACAGTGCCCTCCAAGAGACGTCACAGTCCTTTATGCGTACACATACAGTATGTGTCTGTTGTTGTTGTTGTCTTTCTATACAAGTTAAGTTTGAGTTTAAGTTAGTTAGCTCTCAGTCAGTAGTTCCATACCACAGTCAGCCAACTAAGCCTCCAGAAACCTATTTTGCAAACAACCCAACTAGACATTGTGAAGTCATTGTCCTTCAAGTTGGTCTGTGGCCAGTTGTACAAAGTGAAATACAATGAGGTATATTCAAGCTCCTTCTGGCTCTGATGTAACTATAACACAAAAACTGAGGAGAGCATTAACCCTTAATTATACTCTACAAATGTACACACAGAGATCCATGGAGTTGTTTTCATTATGCTACATCTATAGTCTACACAAGTACCCCAAGCATCATACACTTGCAGATGTGAAAAGTACAAACCAGCCTGAGGTTTAACCATAAACTATGAACCATCCGTAGGTTTCCTAAACAGCAATGTGGTCGCCAAAATAACCCGAACTTCCGGCTAGTTCAAAAATTAGCAATGAGGCTGAGTGTAAGTGGAACTGTATAAACTTTCCTGGGCCACTGCCCTTTTCTATGACAACACAGGTCACTGAATGCAGCCACACCCATAAAAATAACTTTAAGCCATGCAATTTAAATGGGTGACTAAACTCACCCCACATGCAGTTGTCATGAACAGGGAAATCAGCTGTAGAGACCAAAACCCTGTGTTGTACCAAGCTGTCAACATGTTTATTTCTACTGCTAAGTTTGGCATTTTCACAGGGGTCGATGTGGGATATGCTCGCTTTTGGAGCCAACCTTAAGTGGCCATTTCAGGGAAATTGCAGTTATTGGCATTTCCATGTTGTGCTTCATTGTTTGGGCTGTAATGTTGTCACTGGGGATGAACTTATTACTACAGGACCAAAACAGCAAATCATAATCAGTGAAATGGTTCCACCATCAAACAGTTCCACATTTAAATTTGTCTTTCCATAGCGAAACAAAAGAAACTGTAAAACGAAATCCACATGAAGCTTGTACGTAGTGCAGGCACAAGCTCTATACACTCAAAACGTACAACAATACATGCATGTATCAATGGCTGATTTATAATTATATTGTTGTGATTGCTTTGATGATGGCATATTAACTAACAAACAAACAAACAAACAAATAAACAGATAAATGCCAGCCAAAATAACCACCTTGGCGGAGGTAACTAGATGTGATAAATATGTTTGTGCATTGAATTCATTCATTCCCCTGCATCCTGGTGCTATAGTGGTTGAAAATGTAATTGCATGTAACTACAGTGACCCCATGTCAAGTCTGGCCGTGGAGCTGTGGAACATGCCATTCCTTCTCTCTAATTCTTTTGGCTTTAACCTCCATGCTGGTGAAAGTTGCAATTACTCAGTGTGCACCTACACCTGAATGTTGCATTTTTGTGCTGCTGGATGCTGATATGATCCCTTGTCAGGAGTGTAAAGCTGTAAATAACAGCCCAAGGGACAAATAAAGTTTTTTCAATTGAATTAAATTGAAGAATCACATCTTGTGCTATGATGCTATGATGACTCTCATGGCTCAGAACTCACTGGACCAGTCAACATTATTGTTAAAACAGCAAGGACCGACATTTGACAGAGGACTGCTCAAAAAGATGGACAACCTAGGAGATAACCTTGGTATGCCTCCCAACCTGATTCCATTCAGCTTGGACACAATGGAACAGATGTTTGAGGCGCTATATCCCGAAGCCGCTCCTTTATTTAATGAACTGCTTTGAGACATAACCCGTAACAGAGTGCATGAACCGGTGCTAGCTACTTTGATGGCCATTTTTGACTTCATTGCCATTGATTACATTAACAACGTTGCCATTGACAATGTTGAACACCACACGATTGTCAGAGCAGAGGAGGTAATCCAGGAGGTAGTCCTGGAAGAAGAAGCTGATGATCCTTAGCCTGAAGGATCAAGATGTCTGAAATAAAAACACAAAAAATACCACAATACGATGTACTCTTTTACACTTATTTCATACTACACGTATAATACTTTAACAGTAGCACATTTGTCAATACTTCAATCCGTTTATTTTAGTTTATTAATACAAAAACACAACCCTAGTTGTAAACCCCAAGAAGAACTACATATTTCATGGCGTGTCCAATTACGTTGTATTGCAACGCTACTGGAAGTTGTAGTTCTTTCTTCAAAATAGCCGTTTCTCCTAAATAAAAGGTGAAATATAAAACTTTAGGTGCATTAAGGGCTTTAAATTAATGAGGAAAGTGTTTACTTAGAATTGTGATTTTGCCTCATTGTCTTTCTCCTCTCTGCTCCCTGTGCTGGTTACTGTTTGCACAAGGGTGGGGCTGAGCTCCTCCACACACAAAGCAATGGCCACCGTGGAGGGAATGAGATGGAGCTGAAGTTAGATATTACTCAAGTTAACAATGCAACAATGCTTGGTATCCACAAGTGAAACAATTCGCCATAATTAGAGGGAGGGAGAGTAGGAGTATGTTATCAACCACCTGTTGAACTAACAGAACAGAAACTTGCAGGGATGCACAGTTATTCTACTGCTGTGCCTCCATTTAAACTCTTAATCCAGCACCTTTATGTGTGGATATACGAAGCTTGTTAGGCTACCGGCAAAGTGCTATGAATTATTGCAAATTGCTGGTCACGGCGGAGCCCAGTTGAGCAATGCGTCTGGAAAAATAAGAATTATGAGTGCAGTCTGATTGATTGAATTCTTGTGCACTTTAAGGTTTAGACCAACTAGCCCTGCATCTTCTCTCTCAGCGGTAAGTGGATGCGGTGAATGAGGATGAATAATGCCACAGGGCTCTTATGTTTTTCAGGTCAAGGGCTTTAACAGTATGTAAAGATATACTAATGTATATATTCTTTATTCTAGAGAATGGGATGTCTCTATATATTGATGTATTAGAAAAATACTTGTCAATGTAAAAAAAAAAAAGACATTTATTGTCCACACTTTTGCTAAATTAATATTATTGATCGTTGCATCCGTATTAGCCACCAGAAACAATCAGTTATAGGCCTTAAAATTCCATATCAGTCATGATGTGGTGCATCCAATCCTGACTGTCACACTGTAAAAACAAGAGTCACCTTGTCTTGCGTCGGAGGCAAAGGGACAAACACCCGAGTGATCGAAAACATGCAGTGTGCAGCAGCAAACAAACACCCCATAAGCCCAGAGTCTCGTTTTCTCACTTTCTGCTCGGCCTCTCGCTTTCCCTTGCCGCATCGTACCGCACTTCACTCCTGTCTTCTCCCTCTTCGCCCAAGTTTCTCAGACAGGTGGGAGAAAGTAGCACGGAACTAACGCTACCAGTCACTTGACCCATTTCATAGCATGTTCTTCCGAGTGAGGAGAAGAGCGAGAGATGGAGAGGAGAGGGGGGGGGAAGACAGGAGAAGTGGTGTAGGAGTAACAGCAGGGCATCAGGTGGAATGGGAGCTTTGCATTGTGCCAGTTTAGGTCTCCTGTGTGATTCGGTTTGCTCTGCCAAAACAAACAACTCAGGAGTAAGAGGGGGGGGGAGAGGAGAGAGAGAGAAAGGAGAGGGTGAGTGGAGGGGGAGATGAGAGCATGACAGCATGGATGGATAAAGATGTGAGGGAGGAGAGATAGAATCACACTGGCAGAGTGTTCATATGGAGATCCGCAGAGAGAGGGCACTGCCAAGATGAGGCTCAGCAGCATGTTTGTGTGTGTAAGTGCATGTGTGTGTGTGTGTGTGTGTGTGTGTGTGTTTGTATGTGCAAAAGTCCTGCGGTTAAAAAGCAGGTGCACCATAATTATCATTAGTCCCACTAGAGTATTATTAGTGTTAGGAGAAGTAGCTGTATGTGCTTGTGCTAATGCAACATTATATCAGACTGG